ATTGTTTTGGGACATGTCTCAAACTTCTGTCGCACGGTTTTGCTGCTAGGCAAGCCTGCTTGGTTTTGTGGTTAAGTAAACCTGCTTTCTTGAGTGATCATTAACTTACAGGGGTCTCCCATACTTTTTCCTTTAATTACAATACCCTAGTGAGATTAACTATTAATTACCTAATTTGTCCTTTATTCTGTCCCTATTGGGACACTCCATTTAAAGGGAGGAGAAAGAAGGCTTCCCTGGTGGTGCAGTGGTTGAGAGTCCGCCTGCCGATGCAGGGGACACGGGTTCGTGCCCCGGTCCGGGAAGATCCCACATGCCGCGGAGCGGCTGGGCCCGTGAGCCATGGCCGCTGAGCCTGCGCGTCCGGAGCCTGTGCTCCGCAACGGGAGAGGCCACAACAGTGAGAGGCCTGCGTACCGCAAAAAAAAAAAAAAGGGAGGAGAAAGAAGAAAAGTCAAGTTAAGAGGAAAATACAATTAGTCGGGACAATGCCAGCAAGCCCAGTTAGGCAGAATTTTCAGGAGGCTTTTCCACCATCATACCCTAGAAAAGTGGGCAGTAGTGGCCATAAAGTAAACAATGGGGCAGATTTCAGGAAATGGAGTGAGGATCTGAAGGAAAGGATCTGAAATGAACCTCCTCATTTATGGTAACACGGAAGCATTTCATGGTCATGGGAAGGATAGCCATTAGAAGGGAATATCACACAAAATAACACTGAGAGAACTCAGGTCTACAAATTCACGATTGCACAAGAAAACACATTTCAGACTCAGGGAGAATGGCGATGCTTGGGAAATGAAACAAGAACGAAAAGTCTGGGACGAATCCTAAGACTGGTAAGAGGGTCACATTCCTTGAATAACATATTCTCACCCAGCTATTCTTCCATTCATTCAACTAATCCGCCCATCTATACATCCATCCACTTATCCATTTTTCCATCCATCCCATCACATCTGTATTTCCATATATCCATCCGTTCTTCTGTTCACTCTACCAGGTAAGGTTCAATTACGAAAATGGAAATCACTCTAAGTATTTAAGACAAAGGAAATTGAATCAGTAAAATTGGTTACACAGTTGATAGAAGAGATGAAAAATTCAACGCAGGACAATAAAGCAACCTTGAAATGAACAACAGCAGACCACCACCAGGACAAAGGGAAGGGGCAGTGTGACAGAGCCCAGGGATCTGGACACCCAGAAGAAGCTGGACCATGGCAGGTCTTCCCCTTCGGGAGCTGGAGGCTCAGAGGAGATGCAGCCACTGCCAGAGAGGTTGCACAATGCAAAGAGAGGGGAAGGAATAAATACCTTGGATTTTACATTTTCCTCCTTGATTTTAATCTCCAGCATTTGACTCAGTAACTGACCCTAGTTGGAAGCCAGCTAATGAAGGTACCTGGAAAATGTAGCCTGCAGGGGTAATTCCCATTAGTACAGAGCAGTGTAGGTGAGGGACCGGGAAATGGTCTGAGACCACACTAGCCAAGGACTGATCTGTACATCCACCCATCCTCTCCCATAGGTCCAGTTCAGAAGACCAGACATGAAACCGGACAGAGGATATTTCTGGCTGAGAAAAGTCAGCAAGTATGACCTGATACACAGAGGTAAGCTGTGGTGAGAGAGATGCCTGGGAGACAGAGACTCTGTCCCTCTGAGCTTCTGTGCCCTGCCTTTCCCCATGTCCGGAGGAGAGAGAGTGGTTCAACCCACAATCCCAGCCATGCTCCTCTGGGACCCTCCAATTCTGTGGGAAATTGTAAGAGGAGGTTCTGGGCTAGGGCTGCAGAGACAGACAAGGCCACTCTCCCTTGGGATTTGGGGGCTCACGTGTTAGATCATCTGAGGAAGGGGCCACTCACCTAGATCCAGATGAATCCACAGGTGAGTATGAAGCTGGTCCCCATGAGGGTCCCCTGAAGCAGGGTCAAACCCAGAGGCTATAAAACACCTTTCTCTACAGACTTAAGAGTCATCTGAGGGAGAAGAGAGAATGAAGTTGAAGAAAGAGAACTGTGGAGATAAAGGGCCTTGGATTTTCAAGGTATGGAAAATAACCCTAAAAGGCAAGAGGAAAGGAGTGTGTATGGAATTGGGGAGGGCAGAGGCGAAGAGAGGAAACTTTGGCAAGATTATAGGTAAATATAAATCCAAATTAAATATAAACATAAATATAATTGTGTTCGTGTGCATACGTGTATACATGATGATACATACATTGTCAACCTAAATAAATGTAGGAAGCAATAATCAAGCAGAAAGCATTTATTTGGGATCAAAGATTTGCAATTCAGGGCACACAGATTCAGGTAGCAACCCAAACAGTGCCCCACATGGGAGTAAAAGTCAGGGGTTTTTAAAGGCAAAAAAGGGAGATTTGCACTACAAAGAATTTTTATTGGAGGGACTTCCCTGGTGGTGCAGTGGTTAAGAATCCGCCTGCCAACGCAGGGGACACGGCTTCGAGCCCTGGTCTGGGAGGATCCCACGTGCCGCGGGGCGGCTGAGCTCGTGCGCCACAACTACTGAAGCCCACGTGCCTGGGGCCCATGCTCCGCAACAAGGAGGGGTCACCGCAATGAGGTCCGCGCACTGCAGTGAAGAGTGGCCCCCACTCGCCGCAACTGGAGGAAGCCCATGCACAGCAATGAAGACCCAACGCAGCCAAAAATAATAAATTAATTAATTAATTATTTTTAAAAAAAGAATTTTCATTGGAGTTGGAGGCAGAATCTAGTCTTAGATGAACATGGTTGAGTGCTAAGGCTATAACTAGTGGGTGGAAAAAGTTCGTTGCAGTGACAAGTCGCAGGTGTTCTTGCAGTATTCTTGAAATATCTGTGGTTTGATCCAGTTCAAAAGTTCATGGTTCCACCTGGTGGTGGGGACGTGCGTAAGGTCCACCCCCTTAATGGCCTCCTGGATCCATTTTAAAAACCCTTGACATAAATGACTCCATTTAATTTCACATTTCACAACATCATATATAATCTCAGAGTTGGGAATGCCAGAGTGATAAGCAAAGAGTTATAAGCTCATAAGCTTTAAAGCTTAAAGACGTAAATTCAACTATATAAAATGAGATTTGGATAGCAAATCCAAGCTAAATGAAACCAAAAGACAATGACAAACGAGGAGAATATATTCATGGTCATGTTACAGACTAATGATTGTATTTCCTAATATAGAAAGAACTTGTCCAGGGGCTTCCCTGGTGGCGCAGTGGTTGAGAATCTGCCTGCCAACGCAGGGGACACGGATTCGAGCCCTGGTCTGGGAAGATCCCACATGCCGCGGAGCAACTAGGCCTGTGAGCCACAACTACTGAGCCTGCGCGTTTGGAGGCTGTGCTCCGCAACAAGAGAGGCCGCGAGAGTGAGAGGCCCGTGCACCGTGATGAAGAGTGGCCCCCGCTCGCCGCAACTAGAGAAAGCCCTGGCACGGAAACGAAGACCCAACACAGCCAAAAATAAATAAATAAATTTTAAAAAAAGAACTTGTCCAAATCCTTAAGAAAAGAAATATAGGCTAATAATGATGGAAACAGATATGAATAGTCACTTCGTTGAATGGCTGAACAGATTAGAATGGAAAATATTAATCATCATGAAACCTATTTAAAAATGCTCACCTTCATGCCTAAAAAGAGAAATTCTAGTTAAAACTATGATGGGGTACATTTTTCATTGTTAAGAATGAAGAGATCAAAATCAGTGCTAATGCAACCTGCTATTGAGGTTGCAGTGAAGCAGAGACTCTCATCACATTGCAGGAGACAGTGATGCAAATTGGCACAATTTCCTGGAGAGCCATTTGGCCATATCGATCAACACTAGTAATGCATGTGCTCTCTGAGGAATTCAAATTCATACAGACATTTTAGCAGACAGGCATACCTTGGAGATAGTTCAGGTTCAGTTCCAGACCACCACAATAAAGCAAAATAAAGTGAGTCACACAATTTTTTTCTTTTTTGGTTTCCCAGTGCATATATAAAAGTTATGTTTACACTATATAATCTGGTAAGTGTGCGATAGCATTATGTCTAAAATAAAGAAAAAAAGAAAAACAACCCAATATACATACCTTAATTCAAAAATACTTCACTGCTAAAACATGCAAACCATCACTTGAGCCTTCAGAGAGTTGTAATCTTTTTGCAATAGTAACATCAAAGACCACTATCACAGATCACCGTAAAAACTAAAATGAAAAAGTTTGAAATACTGCGAGAAATACCAAAATGTGACAGAGACATGAATTGAGCAAATGTTGTTGGAAAAATGGTGCTGATAAACTTGCTCATCGCAGGGCTGCCACAAACCTTCGATGTGTTTTTTTTTAAAAAAAAAAAAGGTGCAGTATCAGTGAAGCACAATAAAGCGGACGCAGAATAAAACGAGGAATGCCTGTAAATAAAGAGAGAATACATCCTTAAGTGCTCTCCAAAAACCACATTACCATAACAAAGGACAATTTAATGGCTCTCAACACTAAGGAAATTTCGAAGTTTTTAGTTCTCTGTCAAGCTCAACACTTCTGGGCTCCCAACATGTCTCCTCTCTGGGCAGAGTTGTGCGAGGGACGAAGGGGCTGGATACCTGGATTCTGACAGTGGGGCTTTAAATCAGTACAGAGAAAGGGTATTTTTCAGAATATGCTATGCTGTTTTCTCCGAGAACTATATATACACAAGTATTTAATTGGTCCCTTTCCAACGCGGGACAACTCCAAGACTTTTTAGGAAGGTTGCCTAATGTTTTCCCTGCCTGTACGGAATGGAAGTTCTTTGAAAATGGCGGCCTCCTTATCATAATCCTTATGGGCGCGGCCATGTCGTCCTCCTGACACAGTCCCCTAAAGAAAATGAACCGCGGAGTAGAGAGACGACGTGACACGCCATGATAACTACTAGCAGGCAGTGGCTTCAAAGGTTCTAGTGAGCATGCGCACAGTTCAAGTCCTGACCGGAATCCTAAACCGCAAACGGTCCAGAGCGGCCATTTCGCTTCTGCCGTGAACCGCCTGCGGGATGCTGAGGTGATGTGGAGTATTAGCGATGCGTAATCTGTGGGGCCAATGAGGGGAGATCGGCTTGGCGTGAGTGATGTGGGCGTTTGGGGGCCGAGTGATGGGGGCCCGTGGGATGAGTGATGCCGGGTGTGAGGAGTGAGTGGTGGGGATCCATGGGGTGAGCGATGGGGTTCTTAGTGGTGGAGGCTATGGGGTAAGTGGGGTTTTCTAAGTTGAATTCTTGGCTCGCTGATTTTCACTCTTTCTTTGCCTAATTTCTGTATGTATGTAAGTACTTTTGTAACTTGAATTCCAAGTGTACTTTAATGCAGATTTTATATTGTTGGGCTGGGAATCTTTCTCATATGAGGACAGTGAACGTGCGTCTCAAGAGGGCCTTGGTATGGTACCGGGAGCCATTTGGGGAAGTGATCCACAGCTTGGGGGGGCTGTAGGAGGCAGTGGTTGATTGGGAGCAGGGGCTTCAGGGATCGGAGGGCTTTGAGGCTCACATTATAACACACGCAAGGGGGACAGTGATTGAGGGAGGATCTATGAAATAGTAAAGTGGGGTGCTAAGGGTAGCATATGGGAACCAGTGGATGGGAGACCTAGGGGGCCAGTGATGGACGTTTGCAAGGGTGACTGCATTGCTTTTTGGGCAGTGGGTGTTGGGGTCCTTTGTGAATGGTTGAGTAGGTCCGTGTTGGTCTCCTCTGGTCCCTGTGGACATGGTAAGGGTCAGTGATTGGCTGTTGAGCAGATCAATGATAGTTTCCTACTGGGGTGCATTATTTGGAACCCTAGGTTGGCGGTTATTTGGGGGGGTCCTGTGGAAATCACACTCCCTTTGGAAACACTTACTGGCAGTCAGGGCAGTAATGATTTCAGAAGCCTGGCCGTGGGGTGACTGGGAGGCATTTCATGACCTTCTTTGGTCTACTCATTGGGGATTTCTAGAGGTCAGTGTGGTCAACGACTATATTTTGGTTGGGGCGGGGAGGGAGAAATGGAGAGGCAAGAAATGGTAAGTGATTGGGAGTCCTGGTGCATGTCTGCAGGTCTTCCAGGTGAAGGTGGAGTCCCATATATTGAATTTGAGGGGTTTTTTGGTCAGAAAATGCTGAGCTGTCTATATTATGGATGGGCACTGAAAAGGCCAGAATGTCGGATTAGGCACTCCAGATAGACAGCTTGAAGCCTCAGCTCTCTGAAGGCAGCAGGAAAATGTAAATGAATTTCTGGAAATTGACCACTTGGAGGACCACATGGGATAGTGGCGATTGTGTGCACTTTAAAGTGAGGCGGACCCGGGACTCATTCCGTTCTTTCTGTAAGGTCGGATCTTAACAAACGGCACCGCGAAACAGAGAAAAGCTTCAAGTGAGCTTTATTAGGGAGCGCTCCCGGGCGAGGTTCACTGGTCCGAGAGAAAGGGGCCAGAGAAGTCGCACCCGGGCGAGGGTTGGGCAAGATTTTATAGGGGAAGAAGGGAAATGGGTCTGCTGAATCTGGGAGGGCGCAGGGTATTCCTTATTTGGTGGTCTTTTCGGGTATCCTGGGGGACCGTTAGTCCCGCCCCTCGAATGGCGGGAAGGCTGGGCTGGGTTCAAAGTCCCCAGGTCAGTTCCTGGAACTGGGTGGTCCGGAATGTCTCCAGGGCACTTTCTGGAACTGGGTGGTCCGGAGAATTTCGGTCTGATGCCACTTGTGAATCTGATTGTGTTCCCCTGCCTCGGGCCAGTTGGCCTTACACTTTCCTTTGCACACTGAGTGACCTTAAGGCAAATTATGTAACAGCACTGTTTCCTCATCCACAAAATGGGTATAATAATGATCATAATATTTAGCTGACAGGGTTGCATGAAAATTAAACAAGGTACCTGATACCTGACTCTGCAACTTGCTGATTTTTTTTTTTTCAGTGTTTCCCATTTGCCAGGCAGGTGCTGAGGGCTTGACAAGCCTCATCTCACGAAAGCTCCCCCGGTGCCTATGATAAATACCTTCCTTCTCATTTTGGAAACTGCAGCTAAAGTACTATCTTCGTCTTCTCACGGTTAAAAGGTGTCAGAGCTGCAATGAAAGCTTCCTTAAGTTTAGCCCAAACCTCTTCATCTTTTCTCATTTTTTACCCCAATAGCTAGACTTTTCTGAGTTTTGTCTACCCTCATCTTGAACACAGTGACTTTCACCTAATGGCCTTCAGAAATTCATGTGGAGTGAATATTAGATGAGAACTATGTGGTCGTTGCCTTTCCAGGATTTCTGGTGTCCCCGCAGAGCCCCTGGGTCAGGCCACATCACTGAGGCTGCAGGATCTCCCTTCACAGCTCCAGCCTGACTCTTCCCAGCAGCTTTGACTGGAGCTTTCTGATGCCCACCCAGCTCCAGGCTCCTGGAAAGAGTGGAGCTGTCAGCAAAAGAGACCAAGAATTGAAGCCCAGAAAGGACATGCTTGCTGATGTGAATTTACCGCAGAGGCCCCAGGTCTTGGGTTCAGAAGAGCGGGACAGATCATGTGAGGTAAGCAGGAGCCCCACGGGGACAGTTCTCCAGAACCTGAGGGCAGACACAGGAAGCAGCATATTGGACTCCCTGTGTCTGAGACAATCTGGATTCTCCTGTGTAGAGCAGGAGAATGGGCATTGTGTGTTACAGAGGAAACTGAACTGGCTGATTAAGGAGGATGTGTAGTAGAAGAGGGCTGTCCGTGGGGCAAAGGAAGAATAAAAAGTACATCCAGCCACAGGCGGGGAAATGCTGATTCCTTCCTTCTCAGCACAGGTGAAGATTCCATCCACTGCTGGGTCTTCACTGTCTCAGCTGGTCCCCACCTGACTCCTCACCGGAGACTGGCTGGTTTCCCCTTTGTCCTTGTAGTTTATAGTCATTGGATACTAGAGCAAGAACTGGCTTTTAAGGACCATGTTGTTTTTCCTACTTTATTAGATGAATATAAGTGCCAGAGAATAATGTTTCCAAATTGCCCACAGATATTAATATTTGGTATTTTGGAATGAGAAAGCAGGGTTCTTCAGTATACTCAAGATTTCCTGAAATTCCAAGTTATTCTGTGTATTTCATGACACTTTATTTGCATGTTTTTAAAATAGTAATGACCCACTCCGAAGACCTCATTTTAACTTTGTTACCTCTTTAAATACCTTGTTTCTCCAAATACAGGCACAATTCTGAGGTCCTGGGGGTGGGGACTTAGGCATACGAATTTCGGGTGGGGACACACAATTCAGCCCACAGCAGTGACACTGCTGTAGAAAAATGTCTTTCATTTCGTACTAAAGTTGGCTGAATTGTTAAGAGCATTTGCACGTTCAGTTACATGTTAAGATACATGATACTTATTAGCCTTGTTCCTTTTTTAACATTGAAAATATTTTGTTTGCTTGCCTTGATTCTGCTTTTGCTCGCTGAGATTTTCGAGCAGTTTCTCCGTTCACATTAGCATGTTCTCCAACAACATTCACATCATCTTGGCTTTGCAGCCTTCCCTCTACTCTGGCCAATACTGTGTTGTTAGTTTTTTTTTTTTTTGATTCTTTTTTTGTTTTTGTTTTTAAATAACTGCTAATTTAATCCAAAGAGATATGTCATTGTTGCTTTAATTTGTTTTTTTTTTACAAGCAGGATTTTTTTTTCCCGAAGTTTTATTGGTCAATGGTTTTTTTTTGTGATTTACTTTTCTTGTCCTTTGACAATTTATATTTTCGTTTGTCTTTAGCCTCTGGACTTTCAAAGATGTATTATATATTAATAACCCATTTTTCTTTGCATATCTGTGTAAATTTCTTCTGCCACTGTTTCCCTTGGAAGTAGTTCTTGGTTTTATTTGCACATGGTTTGTTTTGCTGGGCTGGTAAATAAAACAGCTGTCACCACTGTCTTTTCTTCTGAAATCCACCTCCTTAGAGGCAATCAGTTTTTACCTTTTTAACTAAATGTTTTGGTACGTACTTCCTCATCCTTTAATGACACCCTAATATAGCTCCGTCTCAGATTCCCAGGTTTATGTTTGGCCCTCTGTCACATACTCGCACCTGCAGCACTCACATGCATGCTTTTCATGCTTACCTTTCCAAGAGGTGGGTTAAATTTTGATTAGCTCAGTATTCCCTGAAATCAATTTACTTCTCCTGTGTGTCTCTCTCTACATAGAACATCACTTCTGACACTTACGGTCACCAAATGTGCAGGGATTTTTCCCGCCCCAAGCAATTCTCTGTGACACCAGCTGGGTGTCCTACGATTCAGTTCAATTCTGATACTGTCTACCTGGAGACAGTGTCAGATCCCATACGTTGTTAAGGGCTCAGTTCTTCAAGACTCCCGCCACTCCCTTTCAAATGCCAAGGGCACGTCCACCTGTGCTTCTGACCTATCGGCTGTAAGTCAGAGGTTCTCACAACTCCCTCCTTGGGTTCAATTAATTTACTAGGGCGGCTCACACAACTCAGGAAACCAGTTTACTCGCTAGATTACCAGTTTATTACAAAGGATAATTAAAGGACACAAATCAACAGCCAGATAAAGAGATACATAGGACGAGGTCTGGAACAAAGGAGCCAGTTTGTCACGCGGCCCAGCAGTGAGGCCAGGTAAGAATCAATGGGATTAGAGATGTGTGCAGTGTGGCCAATATTCAATTAATAAGTCACTCAGTTTACTGCACACAATTAGCGCACAACACAGGTTAGTCAAAGTAGGGAGAAAAGGGGTGGGGAGTAAGGAGTCACTTGGCCCAGTGCTCATTATAAGGAGTCTGTCAGGATGTAATGGTTCCACCCCAGGGGATCTTGTCTCGCTCAGTTGCTCCTTCTGTTCCAGTAAAGTCGTTCCTTATCTACCCTTAGTTTATCACTCTGAGACGCTCCCAGCCCTATACCAGACATTTCACAACGAATGCGGAAGTTCACACTGGCCACTGTGACTCCATTTTGCACTACTTAACATAGCTTAAATCCTATGAATTTCACACAGAGGAGTAGGAATCATAACATAAAAGAAGTCACATCACTGGAAAGCCATATATATCATGGCAAAAAAAATCATTAAAAACACACCCCTGGGGCTTCCCTGGTGGCGCAGTGGTTGAGAGTCCACCTGCCGATGCAGGGGACATGTGTTTGTGCCCCGATCTGGGAGGATCCCATGTGCCGTGGAGCGGCTGGGCCCATGAGCCATGGCCGCTGGGCCTGCGCGTCCGGAGCCTGTGCTCCGCAACGGGAGAGGCCACAATGGTGAGAGGCCCGCGTACCGCAAAAAAAAAAAAAAACAAAAAAACCCCACACCCTTGTATGTAAGTGCCAGTTCACCAATGATGACTAATTCTCATTGAGCTTGGGTATGTTGTTACAGGGCTCCGTGTCATTTGAAGACGTGACCATAGACTTCAGCAGGGAAGAGTGGCAGCAACTGGACCCGGCCCAGAGACGCCTGTACCAGGATGTGATGCTGGAGATCTACAGCCACCTCTTCTCCGTGGGTGAGAACATCTGACCAGGGACTCTTGGACAGGCCTCGTTGAGATGTCTTTCCTTCTTGTGGCGTGCAGTGGGACATCTGAAGAATGTAGTCAGTTTGCCCTTGGCTTGTCCTAAACTGTTCATTCCTTTTGGGCATCTTTGAGTGTTACTTTGTTCCTAGTGAAAGGTGTTGAGTTTTCTGATGTGCCAATAAAGCTTCACTGAATGGCCTCTAAAGCCCAAGACCATGTCCAAATGCAATATCCTTTCTTATTCACAGGGTATCACATTCCCAACCCAGAGATCATTTTCAGGATGGAAAAGAGAAAGGAGCAATGGATGAGGGAGGCTGAACTCCCACGTCAGAGGTATCACGGTGAGTGACTATCAGGTCGTGAAGATCTGAGGGGCCGTTATTCAACCTACCACACTTATCCATTCCCCCAGTGGTGGACACAGGTTACCTCCTACTCCTAGTTTCTAAGGCTAATGCCGCCAAACATTATTTTGTAAATGTCCCGTAGGGGCCAACGTAAGAATTTCTGAGGTGAATAGTCAGGAGTGGGATTGCCTGATCACTGGATATGCCTACACTGAATTTAGCTAAGTAAACCATGGGGCTCTTCAGGTGGGCTTCAATTTAGCTAAGTAAACCATGGGGCTCTTCAGGTGGGCTTCACCATCCACACTGTCATGTGGGAATGCACAAGAATTTGCATTTGTACATCTTGCTTGCCAGCATTTAATATTTACCAAATCTCTCATTTATGGCCTATGTTATGATAGAGCTGTTTCATGTTTTAATTTCATTTTTCTAATAACAGAGCGTCTCATCATTATGTTACCTGACAGGATATTCCACCTGTATGTTGCTTTTTTGTCATCTTGTTTTATCCCTTTGTGGAGTTTCCTGAAAGCCTTTTTTTTTCCTTTTCATTTGCTCCCTGAATTCATCAATTTTTTTCCTGTGCTGGATCTTTCTTCTTTACACCTAACTGCGATGCCTCCAGCTTGGGCCTCTGTACTTCCCTCTGGTCATCATAGAGGAATTACTTTATACTTTAAATTCCTTAAATTTAAAGGAATTACTTTAAATTCCTTAAATCCCTTTAAAGGGCCCTTCTTTTCTCAACACTTAGGCCTACAAATTTTTTCTGATGATCCCTTTTATCAACCCCTCCAGGCCCCATGCCTAAACTGTGTTCTCTTATTTAGCTACATGGTGGACAGTTCCCATGGGATGACTCACTTCCTTATTTTGGGGAGCTCAGAAACTGGAATCATTACACAAATCAGAAATTCTTCTCACCTTATACATTTTTTCAGATTCTTCTGTTTCTTGGCTCTTCCATCTCAGTCTTCTCATTTTCTTATTTTAGAAATTCTTTCACTTTTTTCTCGCCACACCACTCAGCTTGTGGGATCTTAGTTGCCTGACCAGGGATCGAACCCACACCCTCAGCAGTGAAAGTTCAGAGTCCTAACCACTGGACCGCCAGGGAATTTCCCCCATTTTTTCTTTTTTTTTTAAAGGTATTTTTAAAATTTTGTTTATTTTTGGCTGCAGTGGGTCTTTGTTGCTGTGTGCGGGCTTTCTCTAGTTGCGGTGAGCAGGGGCTACTCTTCATTGCGGTGGCTTCTCCTGTTGTAGAGCATGGGCTCTAGGCACCCGAGCTTCAAGAGTTGTGGCTTGTGGGCTCTGGAGTGCAGGCTCAGTAGTTGTGGCACATGGGCTTAGTTGTTCCACGGCATGTGGGATCTTCCTGGACCAGGGCTCGAACCCATGTCCCCTGCATTGACAGGTGGATTCTTAACCACTGCACCACCAGGGAAGCCCCATTTTTTTCTTTCTGAAAGTACAATTTAATTGACTCTTTTCGTTAATTCCACGGGTATCACCATAAACCAGCTCCTTATTTTCTCACGCTTGGGTTATTTTGTTCCTAATGGGATTTGTGGATTCCCGGTCATCATGAGTTCGGTCAAGATGCCATTGACAGATTTTATTACCCCAAAGATTGGTATTTTGTTTCTTTTTTCTCAGATTTTAATAAAAAGAAATATATATATATATATATACACACACACACACACACATACATATACACACTAAAAGTGATTATAAAGAGCATTCTCATTTTTAAAAAATAGTGGTAGATGACTGAGGTTTGGGGACAGGACAAGGGTCTGGGATACAGTTTATCCAAGTGATGGAAAGAGAAAAGAAATAAGACGTGATGGTCTTATCATACTCAGTATTTATCTCTGGTAGGATAAAGTAATAGTAAAATTTAGCCACCTTTTAAAATTTTTTTTTAAAGAATCTGTTGTTATGTTCTTACTAACAAATAGGATGATCAGTGACTCCCATTCTTAGGAAAAAATGGCATATTAAGTAGCATAAAGCTGAAAGTGATAACAAAGAGACCAAGGACCAGAATAATTTCCCTCCTATAAAACACTTCTAAAAGGCAGGTCAGCAGGAAGCTTTACGTTTTGTATCCATTCGGGTGTTGAAGTTTTTCTCGTCATTGCAGTACCATCTTTTATGATGTCGCTCTGTGGGACTGAATGCACTGCACCCAAAGCCAGGTTCTACTAGGCAGAAAAGGGGTGGAGGGTATTGAGAAGCTGTGATATATTACCCTGGCCAGAAGTGGTGCATAATGTTGTATGCACATTCCATCAGCAAAAACAGTGTCTGTCACACCTCATTGCAAGAGAAATTGTGAGCTGTTACGGGGCTTGGCTGCCCTGTACCTGGCCACAGTTAACCTCTGTGGAAGAAGGGTGAAACAGATTCTAGGGGACAGCTTGCTTGTCCAGTCTTCCGGTGTACCCTTCTTAGGATATGCGTATTCCTAAGTTCAAGAAAACAAACTTCAGTTTCATGGAGAGTTGCAAGTTGGGGTATAGGTATTCTTTCAGTGCTTGGCTATGTTAGGATTGATACTTTAATAGTATTTCAGAGGAATATCTAGGGCTGATGGATTTTGTATTGTTTCTCACGAGTGGGAGGAAGCTGGGAGATTAGTTACAATATTCAACGCTTTACTATAAAACAGGCCTTGTGTTAGATGGTTTTGCCCAACTGTAGGCTAACGTTTAAATGTTCTGACCACATTTAAAATAGGCTGGGCTAAACTACGATGTTCAGTAGGTTAGGTGTATTCAAGGCATTTTCAACTTACGATATTTTCAACTTCTGATGGATTTATCAGGACACAACCCCACTGTAAGTTGAAGAGGCTCTGTACTGAGCCCCCTCCTTCAATCTTTGGCTATCCACAGATGCTGCCCTATGACACACTTGCCTCTTTTATCCTGTAGTCATCCCACTAGGTCTGGGTATCAAGACTGCCTACATGAGTGGAGCCAGTTTGCCCTTGTTCAAATCTAACTTTCCCCAAGGCTGAGCAAAGTGTTTTTGGCTAATTACTTAACCATTGTGTGTTTCCTTTTCTTCATGTGGAAAACCAGGATAATAAGTAGTTAGCTCCTGGGGTTGCTGTGAGGATTAAATGAGCTTATGTGTATATCACGTAGAACACTGCCTGGCGAATGCTAAGTGCTATACAGATAAGTGCTTGACATATAATAAGGGCTGTGCAACTGTTTTCTCTCATAATCACCATGAGCACCACCACTGGTATATGACTCAGCAGTTTCCCTGTGCACAATCTCATCAGCTCCATGTGACTCTTCCTCTATCCTTTGCTAACTGTTCACTGTATCTATTTCATCTTTTTCTCCTTCTAGAAGGGGAGTCTGGGCTTGAAACCCCACAATGGGAAATTTCTGAAACAGCTTCATTTCACCATGAGATGTTGGATGAAGTCACAAGAGATGGCTCATGGTGTTCCATTTTAGGAAAGCTGTGGGAAGAAGCTGACCAAACAAAGAGAGATCAGAAAAATCAAAGTAAACCTTCACATCAGGAGGCTTTCCTCAACAAGAAAAAATTGAACACAGAGAGGGACTGTAACTATAAGGACCCTGGAAAAATCATCTGTGCGAGGCCCCACCTTGTTTCCTCACAAAAGAGACCTCATAAACGTTGCTCTCGTGCAAAAAGGTTGAAACCTAATCTAGAAGTAAATCGTCAAAATCAAAGCAACACCACAGAACACCTTGATGAGATGGTTGAATCTGGTCAGCTATTCACCCATAGCTCTTCCAGTGCCAGCTGCAAAAATACTCATACAGGAGAGAACTTCTGTGAAGGTAATTCATGTACAAAAGGCTTCAGCCATAAACAGTCACTCACACAACATCAATTTCACACTCAGGAAAAACCAGATAAGTGCACTGAGTGTGGGAGGGACTTTACCCAGAACTCACACCTCCTTGAACAACAGAGATTCCATAGTGTAGAAAACCTCCAGGAATGTGGTAAATGTGGGAGAGCCTTCACCCCACAACCAAAACTCGGTGTATATGTGACAGATCATACAGGTAACATACCGTATATATGTAAGGAATGTGGAAAAGTCTTTGTTCAGAGGCCAGAACTGGTTACACACCAGAAAACTCACACTAGAAAGAAGCCCCATAAATGCCATGAATGTGGAAAAGCCTTTTTCCAGATGTTATCTCTCTTCAGACATCAGAAAACTCATACTAGAGAAAAACTCTATGAATGCAGTGAATGTGGGAAGGGCTTCTCCCAGAATTCAACCCTCAGTATACATCAGAAAATTCATACCGGCGAGCGACAGTACGTATGCAGTGAATGTGGGAAGGCCTTCACCCAGAAGTCAACACTCAGCTTGCACCAGAGGATCCATTCAGGGGATAAGTCTTATGTGTGTATTGAATGTGGCCAGGCCTTTATCCAGAAGGCACACCTGATTGTACATCAGAGAAGTCACACGGGAGAAAAACCTTATCAGTGCCACAACTGTGGAAAATCCTTCATTTCCAAGTCACAACTTGATATACATCATAGAATCCATACTGGGGAGAAACCTTATGAATGTAGTGACTGTGGGAAAACCTTCACCCAAAAATCACACCTCAACATACACCAGAAAATTCACACTGGAGAAAGACACCACGTGTGCAGTGAATGTGGGAAGGCCTTCAACCAGAAGTCAATACTCAGCATGCATCAGCGAATTCACACCGGAGAGAAGCCTTACAAATGCAGTGACTGTGGGAAAGCCTTTACTTCCAAGTCACAATTCAGAGAGCATCAGCGGATCCACACTGGAGAGAAACCCTATGTATGCACTGCATGTGGGAAGGCTTTCAATGGTAGGTCAAATTTCCATAAACATCAGATGACTCACAGTAGAGAGAGAACCTTTGCCTGTTACAAGTGTGGACACACCTTCACCCAGAAATCAGAGCTGATTACACATCAGAGAACTCATATAGGAGAGAAGCCTTACGAATGCTGTGACTGTGGGAAGTCCTTCAGCAGGAAACCACAACTCAAAGTGCATCAACGAATCCACACGGGAGAGAGACCTTACATGTGTTCCAAGTGTGGGAAGAGCTTCAACAACAGATCAAATTTTAATAAACACCAAACAACTCATACCAGAGACAAATCTTCAGTTCCTAATATGCATATACATAAATGAAATAAACTCTGAATTTCTTGAAGAAAAAAATCTTATGAGTCAGATTTAATCATATATTATAGAATTCATGCTTCACAAAAACTCTAGGGATGCACTGCATGTCACCAAGTTACACATTTTATGTGAAGGAAATTACTCAGGAAAGAACTTTTGAGAGGAAATGTCCATATTTGTACTAGCCTCATTAAAAGTTATAAAATTCACTTGGGGAAGAAACCCTGACTAATGCATTGAGAAGTTTCTGTAGAGTATGGTATAAGACAGAATCTTTAAGTCAGCATATTTATTTATATACACACATACACATACCCTCCATTCTGTAGTGTCTGCTATAGAATTCACTGCAGAACAGGAGGTGTCAATAGATTATATATTTTTTAAAAGAACCTAATATATACACAGATGAATGTACATTTTTTGGTAAATGTATAAATGTGATTCTAGTCTTCACAGTGTCATTTTTCTCTTCTTTCATGATTAGTTCAGCTCTACCCTCCTCTTTCCACCTCCACCATCTATGGTGAAACTTTTACTCTATGGACTCTATCGTATTTTTATACACGCTCCTAAACCATTTAGGCCAAGAGTCAGCAAACTGGCCATCAGCCAAATCTGGTTGGCCACCTGTGTTTTTTAAATAAAGTTTTATTGGAACACAGCCATGTTCATTTGTTTATGTATTGTCTGTGGCTGCTTTTGTGCCAGTGGCAGAGCTGAGTAGTCATGGCAAAGGCCGTATGGCCTGCAAGCTGAAAGTATTTACTCTCCAGCCCTTACAGAAGAAGTCTGCCAACACTTGTTATCCACACACACTCATTAGCATAAACCTATATAGGTACCCTTCCCTTTGTTTTATAAATATCAGACCATATCATATACACATGTGCACTTGTTCTTTTCACGCTACAATACAGCTGTTCAGTGACTACATTAGTATTCTATCAGTATGTGGACATGCTGTAATTTATTCAACCAACCTCACATTTTTTATTCATTCTTTCCCCCACCTTTTTTGCTACAAGAAAGCAGAATAGCATTATCTGTAAATGGACAGGCCCAGGAGTCAGGTTTCTGTACTTGCTTCTACATCAGTCAGGCAAGATACTTAACTCATCTGTCCTGGTTTTCAAAAGCAAGATGACAACAGTGCTACCCCACGAGTCCTCCTGAGAAATAAATGGGTGAATAAGCCTTAACTTTAACTGTGTGGAGAGAACCAAACCTTGGTGAATTTGAGTAGGGCCCTGTGTGACCAAATGAATGGAAATGAAAGGATGGGCGTTACGGATGGCAGAGTGGAGAAGCAAGTAAAATAAAGCCTCCTTTAATATGAAACCAGGTGCGATGGGTGGGAAGGCGGCCCTGCAGCCCTGGTCTCAGGGATTCTGTTCCTGCCTCCAGATACCCCTCAGCCTGGCACTGGGGCTCTTGGGGATGAGAGGCTGATGTCCACAGTGAGGCTGGTGTAGAGGCGCTGCAGCTCCTTGGGAGAGCAGCCTGTATCCCAGCGAGTTCATGCCATCGTGTGACAGATCTGGGCCAGAAGGCCAGGACTAGGAGGGGCAGGAGGGGCAACCGTGTGAGCGGAGGGCTCGAGGGCTCGGGAACAGGCCCAGGACTGGCTACCCCCACCCCCAACCCTGACTCACCTCTGGGGGCTCTGCTTTTGGCTGCAGTCCTGCCCCTCCAGCTTATGGTAGCAGCCAAAGAGCAGATGGGGCCGTGAGAGGAGCATCCCACTGAGTTTCAGCCTTCCAGGGGAGAGGGCAGGGAGGCCAGACGCCTGTCTCCTCTGATAGAGTCCCCATGCCACACCCAGCCCCTCAGGCCACAGTGGCTTGCGTCTCCCGCAATCCGACATAGCTCGTGTCCCCTCTCAGTCTAGGGCAGCCTGTGTCCGCCACACCATGCAGGGACCTGCTGCCCCCTGTGCTAGGCTCCCTAGAGCAGGGCCCCTACCTGGAAGTGATGTCATCATCCTCCCGATTCCAGCCCCAGTATGTGTTGGGGAAGCCATTGATCCTGACTTAGTGAATGGGGCGCAGGGCAAACACCCCTCCAAGGTAGCCCTGGTAGGGCAGCCTGCAGAGGCAGGGAGAGTTGGAAGCACAGGGAATTTCAGGGAACGGTCCCTGGCCCTTTGCTGGCCAGGATCACAAGGTTGACTTCTGGGTTAGCCCTTCTCCACTCACCCCCATGGGAACCTCTCCCCTGACCCCTAGGATGTCTCCATGCCGGATTCTGGGGCAGTCCTTCCCCTGACCCTTGAGATGGCCCCTCACGTGACCCTGGGAGATCCCCTCCCTGAATCATCTGACAGGCCATTCTTGTGACCCCATTAAGGGCCCCTCCTTTTTTAAGTTCTCCTTCTCTGACCTCTGGTACAACCTCTCTGCCTACTGCCTTATTAAGTGCATCCTGATTCCCCCACTGATAGCCAATCCCACTCCCATCTGACACCCACACCCAGGAGGAAGGTTCTTCACTGTCTACAAGGCCTCTCCTCAGGCCGCATCATGCTCTGCACCGTCAGCACCAGGGACCAGGGCCTGGACTACACAGACAGGCAGGGCAAGGCCCAAGGGACTGGGGGCCTGGACTACACAGACAGGCAGGGCAAGGCCCAAGGGACTGGGGCCTGGACTACACAGACAGGCGGGGCAAGGCCCAAGGAGTCTCCCACAGGAGGTCCCCTCCCTCCACCTACTTGTACTTGAACCTGTCAATGGCAGGGAAGACGTCACAGATGTAGAGGTTGCGGTCGTCCTTGGGGAGCAGGTTCACATCATGGAGGAAGACACAGTCCCAGTCCTCCTGCGCAGCCTCCCATAGCCCCACGTTGTCACAGTCCCAGTCCTCCTCCTGCGTGGCCTCCCAGAACCCTATGTTGTGAAGCTTGCCCCGGTGGAAGGCGGTGTCGTTCACCTGCGGTGGACGGAGATGCTCGGCACTGCCCTCACCGCAGGCCGTGGTGGCCCTGCCACCTGCCAGGCCTGTCCTCTCTCACCTTGTCGAGTGCCATTCTCCTGCCTGGAAACCCTTCTTATTCCCACTGTGGGGATGGAAAACCCAGACTTGTCCAGGAAGGTTCAGTTCAAAGGTGACCTCCCCTGAGAAACTTTTCTTGGATCCCCACCCCCATCCTGGTCAGAGTCAGTATCCTTAGCCTCTCAGCTCTCCCTCCTCGGCCATCTTCAAGGTTCTCAAGGATCATCAGCTTCCAGAGGCCATCGGAGGAAGACAGAGGTCAGGAGTGATAGGGGACCACCTGTGTCTCTGTTTCTACTCCTACTAGAGAAAGACTAATCATCACCTATGGTTACCATGATGTTCACCATCTGCGTCACCACCGTCATCACGATCTTCAACGTCACCAACACAGTCACCTAACCTCCATCGTCGCTGTTACCACCACCACGACCATCACCACTCTGACCATCACCACCACCATCACTCAGCAGCAGCAGCAGCACCTTAGCGATCACCATCATTACCACCATCGCCACCGTCAACACCGCCACCACCATCATGACCGCCACCATCAACACCGCCACCACCATCATGACCGCCACCATCATGATCACCACCAACACCGCCACCACCATCACGATTGCCACCATCAACACCGCCACCACCACCATAATCACCACCATCATAATCACCACCATCAACACCGCCACCACCATCATGATCGCCACCATCAACACCGCCACCACCATCATGACCGCCACCATCATGATCACCACCATCAACACCGCCACCACCATCATGACCGCCACCATCAACACCACCACCACCATCATGATCGCCACCATCATAATCACCACCATCAACACCGCCACCACCATCATGATCGCCACCATCATGATCGCTGTCACTTACTGAGCACCTACTGTGTGCCAGGCATTGGCTTCACTGCTTTATACTCATTAACTCAATGAATCTTTGTCTCATGAATGAGAAAACAGTGGCACAGAGCATAAATGCCCCAAGTTCATACATAGTTATACTAAGTAACAGTGTGCTGAATGAATGGCTGGATAAATAGATCGATGGATGGATGGATGATCGGTCCCCACCTCAGATCACACAGGTTAAAATGGACAAGGCCAAGACTCAAACAGGCACCTAACAGACCCCAAACCCAGTGCTTTAATTTACCCCTTAGGTTAACTGCCCAATCTGAACAGCCCTGGTCTCAGAGAGACCCAGATTCACTGGGATTGAGCCCTTCCCGTAGACAGCTATTCAAGCTGATCCCAGACTCAGCCAGTCTAGACCAAACCTATAGCCTTTGGTTCTGGTTTCCCCCAGTGCAAGTTCTTCTTGACTCATCAATCCTACCCCCTGGATACTCTCTGGCCCAGACGCTCTCAGCTCAGAGACTGGCAACTGCAGCCCTGACTCTCCAAGGCCAGGCGCAGAGCCCTCTGCTCTCTTGCCCCTGCCCCTCCCCATTCCTTCCGCACCTGGTTCACTACACAGATGGCGTACTGCAGTGGCTGGGGCTGCAGGAAGGCGCGCAGGTGGAGGAGCAGGTGCTGCAGGTGCTGGGCTTGCCCGCAGTAGGGCACCACTACCGCCATGTGGTGCTGTGCCCAGCAGTCAGGTGGCCAGTATTGGCCTCCCAGCCCCACCAGGGCGTTCTTTTCCACCACCTGCTCCATCGTCACGTTCTCTGGCATCACCATCTTCAAGGGCCCACCTGAGAGAGGCAGAGGCCAGGGATGGTCAGGGACCCACCCCAGAAACCCCACCACCCAGCTGTATTGGGTTAAATCACGCCCCCCACAAATTCACGTCCACCCAGAACTCCAGTATATGACCTCATTTGGAAATAAGGGCTTTGCGGATATAATTGGTTATAGTGTGGTCATACTGGTTGACGGTGGGCCCTAAGTCCAATGACTGGGGTTCTTATAAGAAGGCCATGCAAAGAACCAGAGAGAAAGTAAGTGGCCACAGAGGCAGAAATTAAAGTGATGCTCCTCCAAGCCCAAGACTGCCAGCAACCACCAGAAGCTAGGACAGAGGCACAGCATGGTGTCTCTCAGAGCTTCCAGGAGGAACCAGCCCTTGACCACATCTTGATTTCAGACTTTTGGCCTCCAGAACCGTGAGGGAATACACTTCTGCTGCTCTAAGCCACCCAGCATGTGGTACTTTGTTATACCAGCCCTGGCAAACTAACATGCCAGTCCGAAGGGCTCTGAGCTGGGCCCAGTCCCTTCGCCTCCCCGCACCTCCTTCTGTGTTCCTCCCTCGTCTCTCCCCCGGCTCCCACGCTTCTCGTTCCTCCCCCAGCAAGCTCATCACCTCCTGTTGCTTTTCTCCCTGTGGGCCCTGATGGTCCTCAATCTGTCTCCTGAGCTCCAACCCCAACCTGCCTCCCAATTGTCTCCTCCTGGGTGGTTCTCCGGCCACCCACTCTCCCTACATCTCAAACCAGCCTCCTTCTCAGTTCCCGCTCTCACTGAGGGCTCCACCGACCACTCACTCGCCCCCAGCCGTGCCTCTTCTTTCAGCAGCAGACCATATTTTTTGCCCAAGATGGCCACAACAGTATCGCGTATCCAACAGGCCCTTCTTTTTTTTATGGCCGGGGGGGGGGCGCACCACACAGCATGTGGGGTCTTAGTTCCCTGACCAGGGACCAAACCCGCACCCCCTGCAGTGGAAGCAAGGAGTCTCAGCCACTGGACCGCCAGGGAAGTCCCCAACATGCCCTTCTCACAATGTGGCTCTGACACTCTTCCTGCTTATTGAGAAGTGAGTCTCTGTCCCCGCCCCTTAAAACCGGGCGGCCTTTTATGACTGTCCCAGTGAATGGAGGATGGCAGAAGTGACAGACGTTATGTGGCTTTTGAGACTAGATCACATAAAAGTCCATTTGGCTTCTGCCTCGTTTTCATGAAGACTCACTCTTGAAGCCTTCAGCTGCCATGGAAGCTCTGTGGCCACCATGCTGTGAGGAAGCCCAGCTAGACTGTGTGGAGAGACCCTAAGATCACATGAAGAGAGTGAGGTGCCCAGCCAGCTCCTGGTTGCTTCCACCCGCTGCTGTTCTAGCTCCAGCCTCATCTCACCACAACTGCCCAGCTGAGCCCCTCCCCCAAATTCCTGACCCCCCCCCCCACACACACACTCTGAGAGTTAATGATTGTTTAAAGATGGTAAGTTTTGGGGTGGTTCGTTTTGATGCAGCCACAGATAATACATAATCCGTTGTCCCCAGTCACCAAGCCCACTGCCTTCTGCTTCCTGGTCCTGCCCTACTCCTCAGGGATTCCTGCCAGCTCCCCGAAGCCCGAGGTGCGGCTGGGGGCGTAGGAGGCCCCTGCAAGCTTACTGATGTAGGGAGAGATGATGGGGCAGCTGGGCAGACCCTCCTCACCGATGTCCACAGGGTGGATCTGGCTGAGGTTGGAGTACCCGTCCTGGTGAGGGATTTCCACAGAGGAGACCTGAACCAGAAAAAGTAGCCCTTCCCCTTCCTCAGGCTTGTCTTGTATGAGGAAGCACAGGAAGGAGGCGCAGCCGTGGCGGTGGTGGTTCCAGTAGAGGAATGCCCCTGCCGGCAGCAGCTGTACCCCCAGAAATAAGAGAAGCCCCCACCGCTGTACCTTTCTGGGAAAGGAAACAGAAGGTTTCTGTTGGAACAGATGGTTCCTCCCATCTCGCAAACCCCTCACTCTGGCCCCGGGTGGCTCGGTCCCAATCTCCTGCGCCCATCCTTCCCCGACTGGCTCTGCACACGCCACAGAGGGGAGGGCCAGAGGGAGAGACTTGCTGAAGCCACTCAGGGCCACCTGCCACGCGCACATCTCCAGCCTCATCTCTCCCACCTCTGGCCACACCGCCACTGCACGCTGGCTGGGCTGCTCCCCTGGGTGAGCGACCCAATCTCTCTAAGACTCGATGTCCTTGTCTATGAAAAGGGGCTTACGGCTGGATCAGACTCGCTGTGCGAGGACCCGCAACGTGCAGGAGTCAGGGTGACACGGACTCAGCATTTTCCCCGGAGTGGGCCAGGTTCTCTCACATCTCCAGCATCCTGGGATGGAAGGGAATGACCCCACTCCTGCTCTTTCTGGGTGCCCTCTCCCCTCTGCCACCACAAGCACCAAGTAGCCCCTCGCAGCTTCCACAGCCCCTGGATCTCCCTCTACCACCATCTAATCATCGTGGATTGTGACTGTCCGTATCAGCCTCCCTCATCAGACGAGGGGCCTGCTGAGAGCAGGGTTCAGGACTGACTCAGTTCTAGGTGCCCAGCATTTCCCGGGACAGCAGGCCCCGGGAAATGGATGAATGAGTCAATGAATGAATGAATGGGTGGATGGATAAGACGCTATTCACCACCTGCTAAACCCCTGCTCCTCCTTCAAGAGTTCCTTGTCTAGGGACTCTTCTCCAAGTCCTTCACTCTCGTCTACACTCTGTCTGGCCTCTCCTGGTCCCAGGCATCTCTGCTGTCACAGCTCTGGTCAGCAGACCTGGACAGATCCGAGTCCACTCACTCTCCCTCACCAGCCCCGGAGCTCTGGGAGGGCAAAGCTCGGCATGACTCACCTCTGGGTCCCAGCATCACCCAGCACATGAGCTGAGCGTTCACCTATTGATTCATCCGGGTTTACTAAGCACGCACTCTGTGCCAGGCGTTACAGCGGGAACCAATGAAGCAGCCAGAAAGACAGTCAACAAAAATCTCCGCCCCTCCCCCGCCTCCGCCCCCATGAAACCTACACTCTGGTAGAAGAGATAGGCAAGAAAATGGATAATTTCAGAGCGCGATAAAAGCCTATATATGAAAGGAGTAGAGGAGGAAGGGGAGTAGAGAGTCAAGATTCAGAGAGGTGACCTCAGCCCTGGTGGCTGGCGAGGCAACATTTAACTGAGCCCTGGAAGACGGGGTGGAGGCGGCCACGGGGAGTGTCTCTGGCAGAGGGAACAGCAAGTGTAAAGGCCCTGAGGCAGGAAGCGGAAGATATCGGAAAGAGTGGCAGGGGACTGAAGCTAGATCAGAAGGTCTCTTCTGTGGTCTTCCCTGGTGGTGCAGTGCTTAAGAATCTGCCTGCCAATGCAGGGGACACGGGTACGAGCCCTGGTCCGGGAAGATCCCACATGCTGTGGAGCAACTAAGCCTGTGTGCCACAACTACTGAAGCCCACGTGCCTAGGGCCCGTGCTCCGCAACGAGAAGCCACCGCAATGAGAGCCTGTGCACCGCAATGAAGAGTAGCCCCCACCTGCCGCAACTAGAGAAAGCCCGCATGCACGGCAACGAAGACCCAACACAGCCCCCAAAATTAATTAATTAATTAAATAATTAAAAAAAAAAAAGAAAGGCTCTTCTAGGTCACGGTGAGGGGGGAGCAGGAGAGCGGTGTGATCTGGGTCACATAGATAAAAGATTGCTCTGGAGCGAGGGTTCGCAACTGGGGAAGTTTCTGCCTCCACCCAGAGGACATCTGGCAACGTCTAGAGACATTTTTGATTGTCACAAATGGTGGGGGGATGCTGCTGGCATCTGGTGGGCTAGTAGAAGCCAAGAATGCCCCTGAATATCTTACAATTTACAAGATGGCCACACCCACACCCCATAAAACCAAGGATGTCAAGTACTGAGGTTGCTAAACTGCTCTACAGGCAATGTGGTATGTTCTTCAGCAATGCAGGGTGACACAGCGGGGAAGAATGCCTTGGTCTCTTTGTTTCTCCCTCCCTCCCTCCCTCCCCTTCTTCTTCCCTCTCCCCCGCCCCCACCTCTCTCTCTTTCCCCAAAGAAACTTCTTGGCCTTGAGACCTGGGTCGCGGTCAGCACTGGTCCCTAAGGAGGACTGGGGAGTGCTCTCATTTCCTGCTCTTGCAAAGACTCACTCATGACAAGGACTGATTCATGGACCGAAGGCTTCCCTCTGGCTGTAGCATGAAGAACAAATCCTGGGTTTTTTTTCCCCTTTCCTTTCTGTGTTTCAAGGGCTCCCAGCTGATGGATGACGAACCCTGTTTTGAATTTACACTTGGAAAGAAGTGCAAAGTGGGGATCTTGCGGAAAGATGGTAGAGAATGAAATGGGATCAGGGGAAGTTCTGCTCCCCAGGTTCATCACAGGGGACACCTGTCGGCTGGAAGCAAATGGGTCCCATGAACAGAAATGGGTAGGATTTGCACTGGTCCATGCTGGTCCCCGTGATCGTTCTGAAGCCAAAGGTGAAGAATATGAATAGATGCATCAATGAGCTTATGGAAAGGCACTGAAAAGTTACATACAGGCTGATGTCCTTGTCACTAAACTGGCGAGTATACTTTTAGATGAACTACAAAACGATCTCGTTACAGAAGCAGGCTCAGGACCAAGTCTCAAATGTGGGGCAAGACAGAATGTGATCAGGGATAGACAATCCTCCAACTTAAGGAAACAAGAGCATTACGGAAATAAGAATCTAATCTCGGTAGCAGATTCTGTTGTGGGATAGGCATCAGGTAGAATTTCTCCCAGCCTTTCAGCTGGAAAGGCAGCTTTCAAAGGAGCGCTGTTTCAGAGAATACCATCCAGGCTTTTGAGTGGCACATCTAGAATTAGACACTCGTCCTTTAGGCAAAACGAGAAGAACTAGACCCCACGTGTATGGTGGAAATGCACCCTGCTCACACACAGAAGGTAAAATAGTCAAAAACATCTCAGGAGGGCTTCCCTGGTGGCGCAGTGGTTGAGAGTCCGCCTGCCAATGCAGGGAACACGGGTTCGAGCCCTGGTCTGGGAAGATCCCATATGCCGTGGAGCAACTGGGCCCATGAGCCACAACTACTGAGCCTGCGCATCTGGAGACTGTGCTCCACAACAGGAGAGGCCGCGACAGTGAGAGGCCCGCGCACCGCGATGAAGAGTGGTCCCTACTCGCCGCAACCAGAGAAAGCCCTCGCACAGAAACGAAGACCCAACGCAGCCAAATAAATAAATAAAATGAATTTAAAAACAAACAAAAAAAACATCTCAGGAACTTCAGCCGGATTTGGTGCTGTCCTTCAGGGACCAAGACCAGTCTTTGAAATACCCTGGGAGAGTTGGCCCTGCAGCCATTTATGGACGTGTTTGCTGGGATGAAAAGAGCAGGGCTCATGACAATCCCCATGTCCCAGCTGGGAATGCTGCGGGTGTGGCCCACGCCTGAATCATGCCACACGGGCCAGTGTCCAGCTGCTCTGTGAACAGGAGGTGCCAACAAAGCCTCGATGGTGATATCTCCCGTTCCGAGGCAGGGGGTCAGTGAGCTTGGAGGAGTGAAGAGTCTCAGGTGGGGTATGTCCTCTCAGGAGCCTGATTCTTCATGCAGGAGTTGGATGCATCAGTGGTTTCCGGGGAGCCACCAACAGAGCAAGTGTGTTAGTTACACATCATGCTGGTTACAGAGTTCAGACACCCAGACTCACATTCCCAGATGTCCTCCTCATGCTGGGACGGGAAAGCCTGCTGCTATTGAAAGTATGGTTTGTCTCTTGGAAAACCCAGTAAAAATGACCCCTCAGATTCCACAGGATACATGAGAGGCACTTCCAGAGCCTGAGGGTTATGTAGATTTCAAATGATTGTTTTCTTACTCCTGGTTTTTATAATTAATCTCTATTATATCCATAGGGATTATGATTTAGTGCTACACAGTGCTACTGTGTTTGGGGCTCTTGATGATGAAAGTTAAATTATAAACAATCATTAAAAAAAAAGAATTTGCTAATCCCAAACTCTAGTCCTCAGTATGTCTGTGAGTCCGCTTCTGTTTTGTAGATAGGTTTATTTGTGTCATATTTTAGATTCCACATATAAGTGATATCATATGGTATTAGCGGATATATACTTTCATATATAGGATGCATAAACAACAAGGTCCTACTGTAGAGCACAGGGAACTATATTCAATATCCTGTGAGAAACCATAATGGAAAAGTATAAAAAAAGGATGTCTATACGTGTATAACTGAGTCACTTTGCTGTACAGCAGAGATTGACACAACCCTGTACAGCAACTATACTTCAATTTAAAAAATTAAAAAAAAACAGAATTTGGCAGTATTATCATGTGACTATAGCTGTGGAAGCACAAAGGTGTGTTCTTATTACTTCCTCAGAAAACAAAAAAGATTCCATCTCACTACCATTGAAAGGTAAACCGGGTATGATAAAATCAATTTTATGTTTTGTTTCTCAAAGTTACGTAAGATTCCAGGAAAAAATTCTGATGTCTTAAACTAGCAGCAATGTTCGTGCATGGTACATGATTCAAATTAGTAGAGTGTACACCCACATTTTCCAGCTGACACGGTACCGTTTGGTCTAATAATAATCTTATACTTTCATTTATAGGCAAGAGGGAAGGTGTGGAAAGCAAACCATCGAGAAGCCCCTTTCCAAAGAAAATCTCACGTTAGAAACATGTCTTCTTTAAGAATGAAAGCCAGAGCTTCCCTGGTGGCGCAGTGGTTGAGAGTCCGCCTGCCGATGGAGGGGACACGGGTTCGTGCCCCGGTCCGGGAGGATCCCACATGCCGCGGAGCGGCTGGGCCCGTGAGCCATGGCCGCTGAGCCTGTGCGTCCGGAGCCCGTGCTCCACAGCGGGAGAGGCCACAACAGTGAGAGGCCCGCGTACCGAAAAAAAAAAAAAAAGAATGAAAGCCATTTTTTTCAGTCAAGAAAACATCTTTCTGCCTGCATCTGTTAGGTTCAGATATACATGCCCCAGATCAGATTGTGCTTTTTGCCCTAAGGCAATCCCTAAACTTCCTGACCTCCAAGGAGGTAAGAAATGTCTTTGGGGATATGCAAGCTGTTTCATCTAACAAAGCAGAGATCTTCCAAGTGGGGTATATACACAGAACTCCCTGGGCGGTGGCGTGTACTTCTAGTCTACTCATTTTGATGAAGGTGAAGCTTGGCTCACGTTGGGATGTTCTGTATTTAGAACAACCAAAAGCATTATAATTAGTGAAGCTAATATTTTTAAAAATTTAACTGGAATGTTTTCAGGGACAAATTTTTCAAGTTACACTGAACACAATATCCAGGTAAACTGGTGCACATTATTCTCTAAGATAATTAAAACCTATCTGAGTCATGTCACGAAATATTTATTCCATGAACAGCCTACCCTCATCTCATGTCACCTTATAAAATACGTGGTTTCTACCTGTAACAATAACAAAAACTTGTTAATGTTGAAAAATTTCAGGTATCAACTTAAAATGAGTTAGGTGGTGGTACAAAGCTTTTCAAAATGGCTTTGGGGTCTCCCAAGCAAAAGCGTTTTAAGATGACTATGATATATGCCCCCCCCCCCACACACACACACTCACTCAGACTTCTTACATCTTAGCTAGTTTCAAGACCTATGAAAAATTGTTTTAGCCATTCCCTAAATCGTAAAACAGTTGCTAAAGGGAAAATTCATTTACTGCATCATAAGTACACATATTAAACTTCTTGGTTAAGGTCCCTTGTCCTGGGGAGTAGAGCAAAGTGAGTTTGCTATTTGCTAAGACTTACTTGTAGTCCAGAACAGGGCTATCCAACATAATAACAGGTCACAGATGTAATTTAAAATTTCCTACTAGCCACATTTGTCGAGTAAAAAGAAACAAGTACAATTACTTTTTAATATTACACTTAACCCACTGTATAAAAAATATTACCATTTCAACACGCAATCAAGATAAAATATTTTAGTGAGGTATTCCACATTTTTTTTTTCACATAAAGTCTTCTCATCTGGTATGTATTTACATTTTCAGCACAGCTCGATTCAGACGATCCACAGTTCAAATACTCATTAGCCACATGTGGCCAACGGGTACCACTCTGAACAGCCACGCACCTCAGACGTCTGTACACAGCTCTTGTGTGCCTGGCAAAAACCTATATGCTCACATCATTCGGTTCCATTTCTGTCCATGAGTTCAAGCTGGTTAGTGGTCTTGTTCAAATCTTCCACAGCTTTATTGTTTGTCGTCTACTTGATTAATTACTGACAGAGAGGTCACAGTGCTTCTGGAATGTGTCAATTCCTTCCTGTCGTCCTGTTAACTTTAGTTTTATTTCTTCTGGGACTATGCTGTTATGTGCATCCCAGTTTGGAACTGTTTCATCATCCTGGCTGTTCCTTTTTCATCTGGGATGACATTTTATTACTGATAGTGCTTTCTGACTGAAAATCTCTTTTGGTTGGTGGTTAACGTGGCTAAAAGATTTCTCTGAGTTCTTTGCCTGGTATATCTTTTCCCACCCTTTTACTTTCACTTTCTGAGCCTGTTCATTACATGTGGATCTCGTGTATATAGCATATAACATCTTTTTTTCTTCTTAATTCTCTTGGTGCTAGAGAAAATTCTGCTTGTTCCTATTTTTTCTACAGCAAAACATATTTAAAAACATATTTCTTAACGATTTCCCTCAACCTAAACCAACGTAAGGTAAGCTTTTAGGTTTTATTGACTATACATTCCACAGTGGGAGTCCTGACATGAATCAAACACTTCCCTGGTGCTGGTCCGTTTCATCCTCAAAGCCACCCTTTGATTTCACAGAAAAGGATACTGAGGCTCGAAGTCACTCAGGTGTGAGAAAAGAGCATGAATCTGAGTCCGGGCTCATGTGTGTGACTCCCAGGAGTCCCTGCTTAACTGAGGGTGCGTCTTAGGGGACAAGGGTGGTAGAGTTCATGGAAGGCTTCCCCAAAGAGGTAATATCTGGTTAGGTCCTGAAGAATGAGTAGGCATTCAAGCCCCAGTCAAAGTGGGCGAAGGGTATTCTGGGCAGAGAGACGGAGGCAACAGAGAGCTTGGTGTATTTAAGTAGCGACGGGAATGGTAGCTAATATCTGCGGAGTGCTTACTGTGGCCCAAACACTGTCGTAAACATGTACCTCTTCCCAACCTCAGCACTACTGACACTCTGGGCAGGTTAGCTGTCTGCTGGGGAGGCTGTCCTGTGTGTTAGAGATCTACTAACATTGCTGGCCTCTACCTACTACCTACTGGATGCCAGTCCCCCTCAACCCAGTTGTGACGACTAAAAATGTCTGCCAAATGTCCCCTGGGGGACAAAAATCATCCAGGTTGAGAACCACTGCTCTACTCCTGGACTGGACTATTTCACCTCTATCTTACAGGTGAGGAAACGTAACTTGTCCACATTTACACAACTAGATTGTCATCCGAGGATCTGAACCTCCGTCCTTAACCACCACATCTGACAGCAGCAGTCTCCTGCCCGAGCTGAGTGTTCACTGGGGCGCAGATAACAGGAGGATACAAGAAAGGAGAGGTAGGCTAGGAGCAGCTCAGGAAGGGCCTTGAATACCTGGCCTGCTCTGTTCCAGGCTTTCTGCCCAGTGATGCTAGGGACCCAGATGCAAATCCAACCAAACCCTTCTCTCAAAAAGCACCCAACCCGGGACTTCCCTGGTGGCGCAGTAGTTAAGAATCCGCCTGCCAACGCAGGGGAAACGTGTTTGAGTCCTGGTCCGGGAAGATCCCACACGCCGCGGCGCAACTAAGCCCGTGCGCCACAACTACTGAGCCTGCGCTCTAGAGCCCACGAGCCACAACTACTGAAGCCCACGCGCCTAGAGCCTGTGCTCCGCAGCAAGAGAAGCCACTGCAATGAGAAGCCCATGCACCGCAACGAAGAGTAGCCCCTGCTCATCGCAACTAGAGAAAGCCCACGCGCGGCAACGAAGACCCAACGTGGCCAAAAGTAAATTAATTAATAAATTAAAAAAAAGAAAGAAAAAGAAAAAGCACCCAACCCAAAGAGATGCTGAAACAGAGGCAGCCACAACCCAAGGTGACAGGGCCTCTGACAAAGTAAGGGACCAGGGGCGTGGGAGCCCAGAGGTGGCTTGTTAATCCAAGGCAGGGGAGAAGGGATCCTGTGGACTTCCTGGGGGAAGTACATCCAAGTGGCTACCTGGAGGAGAAACAGGAATCAGTGTGGCGGGGCAGGAGGAGTGAGGGTTGGAAGGTCTTCAGGAAGGGGAGGGAGCATGTGCAAACACCTGGCAGAAAAAGTTATTTCTCCAGCAAAGGTGGGGACCTGCCAGAGGTGCAGGGGTGAGAGATGAGGCTGCAAAGTCATCAGGGGCCAGGTCACAAACACCAGGCTGAGGGACTCAATCTTCACCCTCTAATTGACAAGCAGTTGCAGACAGTCATCCGCCCTCTCCAGAAGCCCTCGACACCAACTCAGTCTCTCCCCTTAGAAACTAAGTTAACGTGTTACAACTGCTGCCCCAGGGGAGTGACATAAGGAACCAGAACACTGCCCTCCACTCTTTTCACAGCTCTTGCTAAACACCAAGTCCTGTCTTGAATGCTTTACATATATGAAATCATCTAGTTCCTCCAACAGCTGCTCTTATTATCCCCTGAACAGAGGAAGCCCAGAAAGGTTAAGACACCTACTCAAGGTCACACAACTAAGCAAGTGGCACACGGAGTGACGCGGGCAGGCTGGCTTTCACATCCTCTTTTTTTTTTCACTGAAGCCCAGTTTAAGACGAACCTTTTTTTTTTAACTCACTTCTCACTCACTATGTGAGTGGTGTGGAGATCCGCTTAAATACTTAAATAAAGAAACTTTCATAGCGAGGGACTAAAACCAACACAGCAACACCTGAATGTATACTAATTTTGAGGGTAGAAAACTAGGCACAGCAGAATGCCACTTAAGCCAGGGCCCCTGAGCCTCGGCACTACTGCTATTCGGGGCCCGGGTGATTCTTTGCTGGGGGAGGCCATCCTGTGCAGAGTACGCTTACCAGCATCCCTGGCCTCTGCCTGCCTGATACCAGTCACACCCTTCCCCTTGCACCCCCCCCCCCACCCCACCCCCCCTCCCCCCCCCCCCCCCCCCCCACCCCCCCCCCCCCCCCCCCCCCCCCTCCCCCCCCCCCCCCCCCGTCGTGACAATCAAAAATGTCTCCAGACATTGCCAAATGTTCTCTTGGGGATAAACTCACACCCAACTGAGAACTGCCTTAGCTTATCTGTAGGTTGCCTGAGATTTTGAAATTCCCAACTCACGGCTTGCTTGAAAAGAAAACTTAGGCCTAGCCCCCCAGAAAAGGCAGCCATGCCTGGTTATGAGACTTTAATGAGACGAAAATTATAAAAGTTTATGGCTTGGTCAATAAACACTTTGCTGTTAACTCATTTATTTTCACACACACACTCTGAGGCAGGTACTATAGTTATCACCCCCATTTTACAGACGAGAAACTTGAGACGGTGCAAGGGAAGTGCAGAGCACCGGTGTCTGGCACGTGCTAACTCCTTATTAAGTGCCCCCCACCCCCATGCCCTGGTTAGCAGCAGCTGTAACCTCTGGGCTCCTGCAGCCCCTGACATCTGGAACCTCCACATCAAGCTGTGACATCCTTATCTCCCCAACCAGACCCGATACACCTGTGTCCCAGAGAATAGGACCTGGCACACAGAAAGCCTCAGGAAATGATTAACAAATGAGTGAACCCGATGACCAGGCTTCAACAAATAGGTTCAGACACCTAAATGGCCCCCATCACTACTCTCTCAAGGGCTTCACAGGAGTAGAGACAAAAGGATCTCAGAATATAACATGCAGGAGAGGCGGCAATTAGGGGGCTGAGGGCGTGGACCTGGGGATCAGGGCTCCGGTAGACTCTTGGGAAGGTGCTCCGTTTTTTGGTTTGGGGGGACTTGTTCCCCGGGGAACCCTCCGTCTTACGGGTCTCACCTGCCCTCCATCCCGAGCTCTGCCTTCAACTCCACCAGGCAGAAGGCGTGAGCACTGACTCCTGACCCAGGTGCGCGCATGTCTGCTCACCGCGTTTATGCCCCGAACCCGCGTAGCGAACCGCAAACCACTACTTTTCGGCTCCGCCCAAGCATAACGCCCCCAGCCCGCACGGCGGCGGTCCTCAGCCGGGGCGCACACCCGCCCTCACGTCAGTGGGGGCGCGCGCAAGAACCCAAACTGTATCCCCGATCCTTGGAACCGGTCCACCGCCCTCGCTACCTCTCCCTTTCGCACCCCTATCCCCTTCGTACCCCCGCCCTGACGCCTCTCCACCCCCACCACAAACTCTACCATGCTCCCACAAGAGCAGAATATCTGAAAAACATCTATCTTTGGAATAAACCACAGCGCGCTGCGCGCGTCAGCACCCAAACCACACGCCTCACCAGCTCCTGCGCAGGCGCACTCGGAAATCGAACCGCACTGGCATGGAGCACTCTGGGAACCGTAGGCGGGAACGAAAGACACCACCGCGAGGATCGCCGGGAGTTGTAGGCCCAGCTTGTCCGAGTGCCGCAAGCGCTCCAGGCCGAACCGCCGCACGGGCACCTGGGAGTCATTCGCGGGTTGACCCAAAGCTTTCTGGGAGTCGTAGTTATTTTACCTGCTTCCGCGTTTTCTCTGAGCCTGGACCGTCCGGCGCGGGTTCTACTCAGGTGAGTGCCTCCTCCCGCGGCGGGTCGATCTCGGCCCTTGGTCGTGCCGCCGTGGAGGAGTTGATGGTCTCCATATTTCTCTCCCACGCATTCGATAGGCATCCCTCGGGAGATGGCACTCCCCTCCATGATCCCCCCAAAGCCGGTCTACCGCCAGCCCTCCACGCGGGAGTGCCCTAAGCCTCTGGTGTCCCTGCTGACCCGCTTTGGACTCTGCTGGCCGGATCTGACTCCTTCTTCCCACCGCCCAAGCTGGGTGCGGTACGAGCGCACCCTCTTCTGTCCTGATTACAACCTTAGAGTGGTCAGGGCTGGCCTTCGGTGAGGGTCAGACGGCCGTGGACGCCCAGAGGAGGCGCCAGACCCAGCCCAGAGTTCTGGAAAGACTTCCAGAGCAAAGGACCTCAAATCTTGCCATGCCCAAAAGAAATTCCAGATTCTTTGCCATAAACTTACTCCTCTTACAATACTTCCCCAGTCTTCCCTAACCCCCACCACCTCTTCACTAAATGGTCCCACTACCCTTACAAGTGCTCAAGTCAAAACAAAAGTTGGAGTTGTCATGAGTCCTCTGTTTCATCCACTGCTGTCCCCCAAGACTTGGCAGAGTCCCATCTACTCTGTCTCCGGAAGCGATCCAGAATCTGACCACTGCTCTCCGATTCCACTGTCTCCACTCTGCTCCGAGCTCCCACTGCTGCTTACCTGGATCACTGCAGGAACCTCCTCACTGGTCTGCCCATGTCTGTCCTTGCCACTCTCCACCCCTCTATTCACACGCAGCCCAAAGGATCCTGTTAAAATAGAAATTAGATCCTGTGACTATACAGCTTAAAACCATCCAACGGTTCCTGTTTCACTCAGAATAAAGTCCAAGCTCCTCACCCTGCCAATCTCCAAGCCCCCGACCCTCTCCAGTCTTGAACCACCAACACACCTTCCACCCAAAAGAACACAGACAGGACCTGCCCTTTCAGGTCCTTTGCATTTGGTATTAAGTCTATCCGGAAAATTCTTACCACCTTGATCTAATGCCTAATTCCTTCTCTTCCTTCTAGCCTCAGCTCAGAGAGTAACCTATTTGTATCTGAAAACTATTTTGGGTCGGTTCCTCCACTAGAACTTAGTGCCTGCAACCCTTCCTCTTTTACTCCCTGCTGTGTCCCCAGTGCCTAACCAATGTTGGGCGCTTTGGAGGCACTGAGTGGATATTTGTTGAACGAATGAATGAAAGCTTAAGCTGAGACTTGAAGGTGCCAGGCCTGCACAGCGCTGGGAGAAGACGGTTCGAGACAGTGGGTTTACTCTGGGCACTATTTAGGCAGCCTAACGGGAGGCAACGACCCCTTAATCCGGAATCCACGTGTAACCCGCCTCCCCTCTCCACCCATCCAGGAGAAGCCGACCCTCCCGCCTCGCCAGGACCCCGCGATGCCCGCCCCGCAGTGCGCCTCCTGCCACAAGGCGCGAGCCGCCCTCCGCCGTCCGCGCTCGGGCCAGGCGCTGTGCACCACCTGCTTCTGCGCCTCCTTCGAGGCCGAGGTGCTGCACACGGTGGTCGCGGGCCGCCTGCTGCCGCCCGGCGCCGTGGTGGCCGTGGGCGCCTCAGGCGGCAAGGACTCCACTGTGCTGGCGCACGTGCTGCGCGAGCTGGCCCCGCACCTGGGCATCTCGCTGCACCTCGTGGCCGTGGACGAGGGCATCGGCGGCTACCGGGACGCGGCGCTGGCGGCCGTGCGGCGGCAAGCAGCACGCTGGGAGCTCCCGCTCACCGTCGTGGCCTACGCAGAGCTCTTCGGGGGCTGGACGATGGACGCCGTGGCCCGCAGCACGGCCGGCTCCGGCCGCAGCCGCTCCTGTTGCACCTTCTGCGGGGTGCTGCGACGCCGGGCGCTAGAGGAAGGGGCGCGCCGCGTGGGAGCCACGCACGTCGTGACGGGTGAGCGCAGTCGCGGTACAGAGGGGCGCGGTGGGAGGAACGGGCGCATGCGCGGGCGAGGGGCGGACACTGTAAGCCCACTGAGGCGCATGCCCCAGAGGTTGTAAAGGAGACTGCGTATATCCTAATTGGAGACGCTAAAAAAGGAGGAGGGGCTGTGCATGCACACTGAAGGTTCATAGTATGTGCGTGTCCTTAGGTTGCGCATGGTAAGCTTTTGAGTCACTGCCATCATCTTTGTACACACACGCTGGCAAATAGAGGGGTGGTAGGGTGCTCTCTAGGGGCTAGGGCTGTGGTTCTCTGCGCTTTTTTTTAATGACATTGTGTCCCTTGTCACAAAAGGAGGAGTATGAAGGGGCATCTCCCATCAGAAGCATCTAGTCTGAACGCAACTGTGTCCTTTTCTCTATTCGCTTCTCCTCTTTGATAACACTTTCTCTGTACCAATCATTACTTAAATAATTGTTGACCATTTATTGTATGCCAGATGCAAGCTATATAGCCTAGAACAAACTATCTAACCTTGGTTTCCTCTTTTATATAATGGGGATATTAATACTATCTAGGACCTAGAGTTACTGGGAATTAGATGAATTATGGGAATTACGTATGAAGCACTTAGACAAGACACTGAGAAACAGTAAACATATAAATGTTTGCCGTTATGATGATGCACAAGACAGTCTCTGCTCCTGTCCGTTTCTCACATAATTATAACCTGATTATAATCATTTCCTGTGCCACTAAGGAAAGTGACACAGGAGGACCTAGTGAAGGGAGAAACATGGGGATTAAGGAAGTGTTTCCTGAGTGAGCGGAGACCTGAAGCCGAGTGGGTAACTAGGTGAAGGACAAAACGGGGGTGGGAGAGGTTCTGAGCAGAGGAAACAGCTTATGCAAAGGCCCTGAGGAGGCAAAGTATGGCCGACTTGAGAAGCCCTAAGACCAGTGTTTTACTATAGACTCAAGTATAAGATGACAAGTTGCAGAATAAGTAGAGATTGAGCTTCAAATTTATGGTGACTGTTGTGTAACTATGCACTTACTTTCTCCCTGGTCCTTCTAAATACCGTAATCTGCATTCCCAGAGGCACTTGTGTCAACAGCCCACTTGAGCATCTCCATCAAATGCCGTTTTGATGTCTGTGCGGTCTGAAGTACACTTCACTAGACTGAAATTGTATCTGTAGCCTAAAGCAGTGTTACTCACTACCTGAAAGGGCACCGAGCACAGAGCCTGGTTTGCAATAAGAGGGGGGCAAATGAGGGCATCCCAAGTTGCTCCACGAGAGCCTGGCGTGTTCCCCTCTTTCTCACGGGGTCCACCCGCAGCCTCCCGCTGACCGCCCCACGGTACCGCGGGGTCTCCTCCCGCGGACCCGCCGGCCCCAGCGTCCCCTCCTCACCGGCTCGCGTCTCTCCCCCAGGACACAACGCCGACGACATGGCGGAGACGGTGCTCATGAACTTCCTGCGGGGCGACGCGGGCCGGCTGGCGCGCGGCGGGGGCCTGGGCTCTCCGGGCGAGGGGGGCGCCCTGCCGCGCTGCCGCCCGCTGCAGCTGGCCTCGCAGAAGGAGGTGGTGCTGTACGCGCACTTCCGCCGCCTGGACTACTTCTCGGAGGAGTGCGTGTACGCGCCCGAGGCCTTCCGCGGCCACGCGCGCGACCTGCTCAAGCTGCTGGAGGCGGCGCGGCCGTCGGCGGTGCTGGACCTCGTGCACTCGGCCGAGCGCCTGGCGCTGGCCCCGGCCGCGCGGCCCCCGCCCCCCGGCGCCTGCTCCCGCTGCGGGGCGCTGGCCAGCCGCGCGCTCTGCCAGGCCTGCGCCCTCCTGGACGGCCTGAACCGCGGCCGGCCCCGCCTGGCCATCGGCAAGGGCCGCCGGGGGCTGGACGAGGAGGGGCCGCCGGGTCGCCGCGGGAGCCACAGCCGTCCGGACCCCCCACTTCGGAGCCCATCCCCGGCTTCTAGAGACTCCAGTTCTCCGCTGGGATCCGACGACGACGTGGGAGTGCGGGGCCGCCTGTAAATGACACTGTGAAGGAACCCGAGTTACCTTAGCCCGGGCTTCGGTGTGAGGTTGGGAAGGGGTCGGAACCCCTTACCTGTGGTCCTGCAGAAGCTGGGGCTCTGGGCTCCTGGGGCTGCGGAGGACTCCTGGGTGTCTGGGGGACCCCTGGGCCTCAGAGAGGAGAGAACTGTACAACTTTCCATTCCTGATCGAGTGGGAATTAGGGGGCCTCTTGCCTGTACCTCTGTGGGGCTCTGGGCATGCTCAGATAGTCCTAACCCTTCTTGAGCGCCTACTGTGTGCCTGATGTTTCATGTTTGCCTGCAGTGGGATAAGCAAAACCATGTAACTTGATGGGCACGTCAGTTACAGCAATCGTGATGCTTCTGTGTGAGCGCTGTACACAGGGCAGGCCGTCTCATTTCATCCCCAGCATGATCTCATTGGCTGTAGCCTTGTTACCGAGGCCAAGCTCGCTCTGCTCCCCGCACCACAGGCCAATAAATCGGAGAGGAAGTGTTGAGGCAAGGAATACGACTTTATTCGGGGTTTGGTTGCCAGTTTCTTTTACAGCACAGAGAGGGCGAGGAGATGAGGAAGTAAAGTGAAAAGGCCATAAGTTTTGCAAATATCTCCTGGAATGCCTAGCCTCGGGGAGGGGATGTGTTAATTTCTTCTTTCTTGCAGCCATTCACAGGTGGACAGGGTCCGGATGTTTCCCTGAACAAAGGCACTTTGGTTTAACATTCAGGCAGAGGGGCAGGGTTCCCTGAGGCTGTCCATTATGTATAGATAGTATCCTTTCAGTGAACAAAAGGGGCGGAAAGCAAAGGTTAAAGTAAAAGAAACAGATCCCACACGTAGTCAGGATTGACTCTTCCCTGTTACAGCCTGAGGCCAACTAGCCCGAGGTCACCTCGCTGGAGCCCCAACTAGGGGCTTACACCCAGGGCTGCCTGGGGCTCCTCAAGACAGTGGATTTAGTCCTTACCCCCAATCTCTGTGTGATGGGTGGGGAGCCGCTGGGTGAGCTCCCCAGACCTCAGAGTCTAGAGGCAAAGCTGGGTGAGCCTGGGTCAGTGACTTAACCTCTCTGGTCTTCCATTTCCTCCACTGAAAATGGAATCAAAGCCTCCTAGCAAAGCACTGTTGTATTTGATAATGGTGTCCGACTTGCTTGTTCGTATTAAAGTTTGGCCACCAGGGGGCTCTGGGTTGCAGGGTTGCCTCCCTGCCAGTCCAGACAGGTGTGAGGCTCAGAAACTTCTTGCCTGACCCCTGGGGAGACTTGGTGTCCTGGGTCCCACCTCCGAGCTTTGCTGGGCTGGTCCCTTGTCAGGAGTGCCCTCCTTTCCCATCTTCTGGCTCACATCCTCCAGGGGCCTCCCAGAAGCCTCCCTGATTCCTCCCATCTAGGTGAGGATGTCTCCTTCCCAGAACCAGCAGCCATGAAGTGGATCTGAGTCCACCTGAGCATCTTGTGGTGGGGAAGGTGCAAGGATGCAGAGCTTCTGCATCTTCACGACCATAAGATGTGTGTTGGGGGGAGGGTGACTCAGAGACACCCCTTGCCAGTTGTTGGGTGCCCTACCCCGTCAGGATTCCCTTGTGCCCAGATTCCAGGGTCCCCAGGATACAGATGTCAGGTGTCTGGGTCAACACTGGGCCGGGACAGAGAGAACAGGAGCTCAGAAAAGTATGACACTGGGATGAACCTCACGCCATCTCCCAGTGTCCTGCTTGCCCCCATCCTGGCATCTCTGTTGCTCACAGAGCAGTCATAGGAGGAGGTCCTCAAAGAGATGGAAGAGGCCCAAGGTCCTTGATCGTCCCTTGCAGCTTTTGACCTGGTCTGTTTTTGGGCATAGAAGGATCGTGGTCTATGTTGGCCCCTTCCGTAAATCAGAAGATGTAGACTCTTTTAGAGTAAACCTAGAAATTTCAGGATGAGAGAAGGTCAGAGCATGAAGAAGCACTTTGTCCTACACAGTGTCCCCAATCCTTATACCTGCAGCTCCTACCCTTTGTGCTTCTCGAAGTTGTACCCCAAAGTGGAGACCAAGGACCCTGCATAGAGTCACGTGTTGCAGACCACTTACCCCTACATGCTCACAGCCAGGGAAGTGGCAGCAGCTTGGGCTTGGATGGGGCAAGTCTGGGATGACTGACACCATCAGATCAGTTCCTTCTATCTGGAGATCAAGGGCAGCTTCAGAAGCAGCAGTCATCCAGAGACTCTTTCTGGACTGGACTGCCCCCACTCCTCCCTCTTTCAGGAGCTCCCCTTCTCCCTAGTGATGACCAGGGAAGTAAAGGCTGAGCTCTTCTCATCCCAGGTCTGATGATAACCTGTAAAGGTGGTTCCTTCCATCCAACCCTCCACTCATGTTGCCTCCCCCAAGTGTCCATCTCCATCCCCTTCAGCAAATGGGTGGACTGTGGTCTCTCGCTGCTCTCCTCAAATTCTCTCAGAGCAGGGAAGTGTGGGGGGCACAGGACCTACCTGAAACAGAATCTTCTTAATCCTGGCTCTTAGCCCAGGCCTGATCACACAAGAAGCTTCAAGAAGGGATGGCTGACCTCAAACTCATCTGCAAGGGGCTCCTTCTGGTCAGAGGCTGAAACAGAACTGGGGTGCTGGGTCCAGACCCAGAACTGGGCGTGATGTTTGCAGGTTTCTGGTGTCAATTTCAGTTCAGAAAGCCACTGGATTTGCATGTGGCTCTCAGTCCATTCCCAGGTTTCCCATGAGCCCTCCACTCACAACTGCAGAATGAGTTCTAACTTCTGTACAAGCCCTCCAGCCTCAGAAAGTCTGCCCTCTTTATGGTATCTATCGAAGCTTCCTCTCCTTACCACACTACTTTTTCCAGACCTTGCCTGGCTTCCTCTGCACTTCATGATAACTCTCTCCATGCTGTGTTCCACTGAGGCCACAAGATCCTTTCCCCAATCTGAAAATTTACCGTTCATGGAGAATAGGGAAAACTTAGAATTTATTTCTGTGACCCATCAGCTAAACCAGACTTCTGATTCCTTTATTTGAGCTGAATCAGGATGTGGCAGGGCACCAGGCATAGAAGATGATCGTAAACCATGTTCTCCGTCATCCAGAGTTCCATGACAGTATGAGAAAGGGATTAAAAACAAGAACAAACTGTCAACCTACTGGAGAGTGAGGGGAGAAAGGGGAGAAATCTGACACAGGGAAGATTTTCTGCAGGGGGTGAGGGTAGAGTCAGCCCCGAGGGGCAAAGAACTGTGAGAAATGCATTGTGTCTCTGAAGCTAAGTCTCCTCTTCCCTAGGATGAGGAGGTTTTCAGGGGAGACTGAGCAGTTGGCTGTCCCCTGATGAGCACCTCTGTCCTGAGGGACAGAATGTCACCACTCCCATTCGTCCAGCCCTCTTTCCTCTGCAATTGAGACAGGTCAGGGACCTGCCCCCAGGGGGCACTCCAACCACCCTGCCAGACCCCGGGGAGGCCCTAGCTGAACGGTTGACGCTGTCCATGGTTCTGGACCATAGCTGGGCACTGAGTTCAGGAAAACCCCAACTCCGTCAAGGACCCCAATCCACAGACACAAGGTCCTGAGCCTTAGGCCAGCAGGGCACCTAAGTCGGAGGGGCTTCAGAAGGCTTTCTTTTTTAATTAATGTTGTCATAGTATCTAATTTTGTCTGCTTTTACATTTGACCTTCTCTATCCTTATAATTTAGATGCATATATTGTAAAGAGCATATACTTGGAATAAGAATCCAAGCTGACTCTCTGCTTTTAACTGAAGCATTTATCCAGTATAGTCAATGTAGGTACCCCACGTTACATTTTATCTTCTATATGTGCCGCCAGTTTCACGTTATTTTATCTCTCCATTCTTGTCTTCTTTTGATTTACTAAGTTTTTATAGGATAGTTTTAAAGACTTCTAGTTTGTAAGTCATACATTCTGATTCTATTCTTGTCGTCATTACCATAAAATTCCTGCATGCATAATTAACCTACTAAAGTAAATGAAAACCTCTATCTCCTCCTGGATAATCGGCAGACATTAGGAAATGTAAAGTCCACTTACCTCCCCCCACCCCCAGCTTTGGACTTAGCTGTTGTTATTGTCAGGAAATCTTTTTAACTTTTTGGTCGCACCCCACAGCATGTGGGATCTTAGTTCCCCGACCAGGGATTGAACCCACGCCCCCTGCATTGGAAGGCAGAGTCTTAACCACTGGACCTCTGGGGAAATCCCTACTGTCAGTGATTTTTAAACTATCTTCTATTGTTATTCTACCGGTAGAGAACCTCTCATGTATTTGTTCTAAATTGTACTGCTTCCTCATTTTTGAATTATCTTTACAGAGTATAGGTTATAAAATTATATTTCAAGACAGTATTTGCTTTCTTCTGCTCTCCATGGTGCTACTTGATAAGTCAGTCAAACTGCTCTTCTTTGGAAGGTAATTGGTCTTTTTTACATATAAATTTATTTATTTTATTTTATTTATTTTTGGCTGCTTTGGGTCTTCATTGCTGCATGCGGGCTTTCTCTAGTTGCGACGAGTGGGGGCTACTCTTTGTTGTGGTGAGCGGGCTTCTCATTGCGGTGGCTTCTCTTTGCGGAGCACGGGCTCTAGGCGCACGGGCTTCAGTAGTTGTGGCATGCGGGCTCAGTAGTTGTGGCTCTTGGGCTCTAGAGCACAGGCTAAGTAGTTGTGGTGCACGGGCTTAGTTGCTCCGCATCATGTGGGATCTTCCAAGACCAGGGATCGAACCTGTGTCCCCTGCATTGGTGGGTGGATTCTTAACCACTGTGCTACCAGGGAAGTCCCCGTGAAGGGCTTTAAATGCTGGGAAAGATGCTTGCAATGTACTAAGACCAGGAAGCCACAAACAGGTTTGTGCAGGAGAGTAAGGGTCAGCCCTCTGGCTGTTGGGAAGATCCCTTTAGGGTCCATAAATGAGATAGGGAAGGGACTGGAGGTCAGGAGATGGAAATGTGCTGCAAGAATTGACAGATAAAAGTGAGGCAAGGGGCTTCCCTCGCGGCGCAGTGGTTGAGAGTCCGCCTGCCGATGCAGGGGACGCAGGTTCGTGCCCCGGTCCGGGAAGATCCCACGTGCCGCGGAGCGGCTGGGCCCGTGAGCCATGGCTGCTGAGCCTGCGCGTCTGGAGCCTGTGCTCCTCAACGGAAGAGACCACAACAGTGAGAGGCCCGCGTACCGCAAAAAGAAAAAAAAAAAAAAGTGAGGCAAGGAGATAAAGATTATGAACCGAATGTCAGGCTGAGGGGCTGACCTTTCCCTGGGGAGGCTTTGAAGAGTTCTGGGAAGGAGAATGACATCAACAAGTTGCCACCCTGTCCTCTGTGCCTGGTGTAAAAAATGAATAAAATGAAGCCTCAATTTAACAGAGTCAGGAGACCAGAGGGAGACCTCTCACTGCCTGTGATGAGTAGAGCCCAACAGGAAGAAGAAAGACTGCTCTTCTTTCCTGGCAAGGACTCTGCCAATGAAAAGCCAGGGACTCTTTGTTTACTCTAGCCCCCAACTTCCTTTGCCCCTCTATAA